AGATATATATTCGAACGTATGTACTTGTGTGGTCTGTTAATTAGTGTATGTTTCATATGTATTTTATGCTTTGACAGATATGTATAATATGTTTCATACATACTAAGATATACGCTTGCACAACTTATTTGTATCAACGTCTTCTTAGCATTTCACCCAATATATACACTCTTATACTTTGCTCGCTTCATACATATGGTCTGATTGTTCTTCTACCTTCTTGATAGTGCACTGATCCTACAACCCAATCGTCATCCAACCTCCAGATCACAGATGTCTTTACGCTCGGTGAGCCATTCCACCCTCTCAAGCTCAGACTCCAGTCTTCAGCCGGGTGTGAGAAATACGAAGTGGAGGAGCAACGCACCGAGAATGAGCACTGGTATGTTCTGTTTGTTATAGACGTTGGGGTGCGTGCGGGGTGTGTGTTGTGGCTGGTCAAAAGGGGTTGCTTCGGGTGATTGTTGCTTGGACTGATTGCTGTGGTGAAGCGTAGGTGCAGCAATACGCACACATATGGACGGACTCCTACCAGTTACGCCTGAGTTTGCAGCAGGTTTTGACTATCAAGTATAGTGCAGGGTTTGATTATCAAGTATAGCCCGTTGCCTATGGCGGGGGTTATATGTTCTTCTTGGGCCAGTAGACCGAAACCCGAAATCATACACGAGTAGCAAAAGCTCGAAGGTGACACATATCATATCTCACCCAGGCAGGGGATTGTGCATGTCTTCTGATTGGATGTGCGTCTTATACGGCAACCGGCAAATCACGATACCTGAAACAGACACTCCATGTCAACTGACTAAACCCGTCATTCGCACCCACCAGGTGCTCGCCAGATCAATACGACGGCACATTCGACGGATTCACCGCAGATCACTTCTCGTCGCTGTGGAACGTCAGCGGTCCAGCCAAAGCGTACGCTATCCAAACACACTACACGCGCTTGTCCGAGTGCTAACGCAAATATTGCTGGTTACGGCCGTCTGTGTGGGGGTGTGCCAAGGGCTGCTGTTCGCTTGTGCGTGTGCCTTACAGTCTCAGCAGTACGAAGGGTGTGCGTGTGCTGTGTGTGCACACACACTCTCCTCGAAGCGCCTCGTATCCCTCGCCCATTCACTGTACATGCATGGACGCGTGCTCGGCCGAAACAGCCAACTCTGACTAGAAACTCAGTCACGTGTTAGGCTGGACGGGGCATTTAATATAATGTGGTCCTATGCGCACGGTGGTATAGTGCATACGGTAGCAGATGTCTGCTACATGCACGTTGGTCCTATCGCCCGCAATCGCGTTTTGATGCGTATGCGACTGCACGTAATGCCACTCCCTCATCAATGAAGCGTTTGTCACTACCAATGAACAGTGGGTTGCTGCCTGGGGGCATGTTGGTGCTGACCTACGCGCAGTTGCTGAGTGGAGTGTGGCCATACCATGTCTCTAACAATGGACATGCTAAGTGTTGCCTTAGACTGGACTGTACTAGTAGCAACCCACACGAGGGAAGGCCCTTTAATGGCGCAGTAGGTAGTTTAAGATTGAATGCGTCAGACACCTGCATCCTAGGTGGGGAGCCCTAGTAGGGGCGGTTGTGGATGCTCTGATACTTGTGCACTGGTAAGGGCGAAGTGATGTGTTCTAGATGGGGAGCCCTAGTAGATGCGGCTGTGGAATCTCTGATACTTGTGCACTGGTAAGGGCGAAGTGATGTGTCCTAGATGGGGAGCCCTAGTAGATGCGGCTGTGGATTCTCTGATACTTGTGCACTGGTAAGGGCGAAGTGATGTGTCCTAGATGGGGAGCCCTAGTAGATGCGGCTGTGGATCTCTGATATTTATGCACTGGTAAGGGCGAAGTGATGTGTCCTAGATGGGGAGCCCTAGTAGATGCGGCTGTGGATTCTCTGATACGTATGCACTGACAAGTGCGAAGTGATGCGGCCTGGTAGGAGAGTCTTAGCTGGGGAGTCCTAGTATGGGAGGTCCTAGTTCACTACCGCAGGGTGCGATACACGCTCACGTTCACACAACTGACCGATTGGCTCACCGAAAGTGGTACCCATGTAGCACGACGGTTGAACACGGGCGCACACAGAGGAATACGCAGTGCAGAGGTGGCAGTATGGTGGACGGCGTAGTATAGAGGCAATACAGTTAGTATGGTGGACAGCGTAGTATAGAGGCAATACAGTTAGTATGACGGACAACGTAGTGCTGTGGCATATACAGTCAGTACGGTGCAGTGGCACATCCAGATAGCACGCGATGCTTATCAGCGCATCTCTGGGGCGGTGCAGACACTGTCGTGGTCGATTACTAGCGAAGTGTATACGACACAGCAGCCGCTCTATAAATAGATTGACGGAGCACTGGCCGAACGCTGCAAGGGTTATATGCATGTGAGCAATCCCCTGGTGGGATGTGGGTGTGGTCTGTGAGACACCCGTGGGAACGCACTAGTGGCGTATGTTTTAGGGTTTAGGGTTTTGGTATGACTGAGACAAGGGCACGTGCTCATGCGAATGTGCATGTCTGCATGAGCCCTGTTGGAGATGTACACAGTAAGCACTTTACATTCACTATACATGCATGTAGGTATGCACACCCATGCAACATCTGTACGATATATGCATGTAGGTATGTACACCCATGAACATCTGCACTATATGTGCACGTAGGTATGCACACCCATGCAACATCTGCACTATATATGCATGTAGGTATGTACACCCATGCAACATCTGCACTATATATGCATGTAGGTATGTACACCCATGCAACATCTGAACCCCGCCACGGCAGCGTATGCTGGAACGACAGGTGCACAGCCGTTCGCCAGACACAAGCGAAGCCTCTGCGTGGTAGAGTCTTGAACTACTACCAGTCAAGTGGAGTGACCAATGCCCCATCTATATTGGACCAGTGAGTGGAGTGGGTCACAAAAGCGCTATAGGATGAGTCATCGATTGGATGAGTCATCGATTCATGGGAGAGATTACAATTGCAGCTGAGGCGACATATGGAGTGTGCCATGCAGGAGATAGTCCTTCACTGCGAGGTCGTAGGTAATCCTGGGCAACAGAGGCTACGCACATGTATGGCGGGTGTAGTACGATGTCCGAGAGTTTACAAAGAAGTTGCCATAGTAGGTGTTCGATAGTGGTGAGAAAGTAGGCATACAGCAAGGGCATGTGCCGTAGTCCAAGACTGTAAACTTATGCCGGTCATAAATGTACCAGAAATGGCTAGGATGGACTCATCACTCAAATTCCGTTTTGTGCAAACTATCTCCATCGTAGAAGGAACTTAGAGTCATTTTCTCGAGTACATACGTCTACAGTTTCAAACAACTTATCAGTATCGTATCATTCATATGGCCCTCTTCTGCTCCGTTATGAAGCACTGCCTAGCAGTCTTGTTCAATATTCTACTCTAACGCTCGTTCTGTTATCGGCGTAAAGAATGCCCAAGCGCGTAAAGTATTGGTTTGATCGCCGTATGTATCTGTTCACACACCCTACGAGCATGACACAATACATGTACGTTTATACACAGTGGACACTTGTCTCCATGCATGACACTACATATGTTCACAGTAAGCACTTAGTCTACATGCATGACGCAAATATTACAGATACTTATATTCACAGTAAGAACTTGTCTACATGCATAGCACACAACATACATATATATACATACAACAGGTACTTGTCTACATGCATAGCATACGCAATGCACATACATACATACATCAAGCACTTGTTTGCATGCATAGCATACAACATACATATACATACATACAACAGGTACTTGTCTACATGCATAGCACACACAATACACATACATATATAAATCAAGCACTTGTCTGCATGCATAGCACACACAAAACACATATATATACATCAAGCACTTGTCTGCATGCATAGCATACAACATACATATACATACATACATACAACAGGTACTTGTCTACAAGCATAGCATACAATATATATATATATATACAGTGTGCACTTGTCTACATGCATGAAACACACAGTTCATACATATGCATATGTACACAATAGTCACTTGCAGTACCCGGCAGATAGTCCTTTCAACCGTCCACGTCTTTGTAAAATGCTTTTCGACAAGTTGCTGAGATTCGAAACTCAACTATTAACCAATAAAACCTCTCGTAGATGCGGCAAACAGCAAATTGATGGGTTGACGTATAGTAGGTTCTATTTTTATTTATATCTACACATTACTAAATCTAAATTCCCGCCTGCTGCTTGCGGCTGCGATTGGCCACACCCCTGTACCGTCCGCACATACTACGGCCTCTCTCTCGTAGCCTCACATGACGCGTCCTTCCGCGGAATGCACATGCACCAGAGTGGGGTGGCGCAGCGAGTACCTCTGCGTGATATTGCTGACCAATTCCTCGCGGTACTTGACTGTCACCACGCTGCCTGTGATCAGCGACGGATCCTTCGCCCACGCGCGCCTCTGCGCCATGGTCAGGCCCGAGCCAACCCCCACCTTACAACCGTGGTGGCTTATGTTCAACCGAGTCACCACCTTCTCGTCCAAGTTCTCATCCACTGCGTCGGCGTATGCGCCATCACTCGTGCGTTCATTTGATTGGCTGTTGTCCTCCGATGACTGCTCCGTGCTGAGATCACACGCCTGGCCTATGCCTTCACTGGTGGCGGATTCCAGGGTCAAGAGTTTGGCGGCAGCCTGCTCCGTCTCCAGTCTCCGTTGCCTAGCAACGCTCTGCCGCATCTTCCCCACCTCCACCCCCGTGACCGTGTACTCGCCGTCCAGCCAAGGCTTGATCTTGACCAGATCGTTGGTGCGTGCCCCGCTGTACACACTCTGTCCCTTGCGCAGCATGATGCCCTCCCACCCACTCTTGTTGGCGTGGCGCACCAGGCGCCTGACGTTCTTGATGTCCCGAACTTCCATGTGATCGATGAAGTGCACCTGCGCCGCCCGTGCGGCCGCGTGGCGTGCCTGCTCCACCACTCCCCTGCGCTCGCCCCCACTGTCCCTGTCCTGTGAGGGTGGGTGCGAGTTTGCCCTATGCAATGGATTGTGGACCTGTGCACCGGTTGCTCCATCCTTCATCTCCGCAGCAACCACTCCAGGCACGTCACTCGGCTGATGCGGCCCATCTATCCGATGCTGCGCAGCCGTCGCCTGCCGCGCCTTCATGCGCTCAGCAATGGTGCGCATGACGCCCACACGCTCACTAAACGCGCGAGTGCCTGTGCCCGCCACAAACTCGCGCGCGTCCAGTACATCCAGCACCCACAGCACTGGCTCAGGCATACTCGCGTCCTTTCGGCGCAACTGCTGCATGACCAGACTGAACTCGTCGTGGTGATTGGCGTGTGGGTGGTGCGCTGAAGTGATATCCACCACCGTGCGGCACGTTGTAGTCGGCGCCTGGTCGCGTGCAGTTTCTGCGACGCTCTCCGAGTCCGCCCGCGTATCGGGCGATACTTCCGGCGCAGCTTGGCTATTGAGCGTAGAATCGATCATTCCACCGCACTCGGACTCGGACGCGGATTGAGCGTCACGGTCACGAGGTGGGTCATTGGTAGTGGAATTCGTCGCACAGGTCAACTCGCCATCAAACACAATCACGCCACTGAGCGCTGTTTCCTGCGTCGCCATGGTGTAGAGTTCCTTCATACGGTGTTCGAGATGGTCCAGCGTGTGGATGCGATGGCCCATGCGCGTATAAAACAGCACATCGATACTCTCACCCTCACCCTCATCCTTGCTCGTCTCAGCATATCCACTGTTTCCTCCTCCACCCCCCAGGTCCATGGGGTGCACACCAAACTCCGCAGGGCTGGACGGGCCGCCCACACGAGGCTTGCAGGTCTGTTCACTGGTTTCCCTGCCATTGGCCTTCCCACTCTCACTTCGCATGAACTCGGGCACTGTGTGCGCCAGCGATTCCGGCACGCACACGCACAGACATCGCACGCCATCGAACTTGCGCGACGCATACCACACAGGACTACCCTGCACCTGCGTCTCAGGTGCAGGGCCACTTTGTCCTCCTGCGCTAGAGTCTAGATCGCCCTCAGCTGCTTCCTGCGTCATCGTCTTCTTCTTTTGCTTCTTCGTGCGTGCGTTCACGCCGCGTTGCACGCGGGCCATTTCTTTCTCCAGGTGCTCGAGATCGCCCACTTCAGCCAGGGCCACAGGGAACGAGGGTATCATCTTAATGATATTCATTTCCCTGCCCTTCGCCTGCACACCTACACAGTCACCGCCCCGCGAGACCTCCTTCTCACGTGCGTCACACACATCCCCATTGCGCGCACCAGTGGTCGTGTCTTTATTCTCGTCTTCCTCGGAAAACCACTTGCCCATGCGCAACTCATTGTTCTCCAGGTCGCTCTGGATGTGTTTGAGCACCGAGTTGATGGTTTTACTGGCAATGCCCACACGCAGTGACCGGTTGATGACATCATACACCACACCCATCTGCCGAGCATACACATCGCTCTCGACGCCTCCTTTCTCGCCAGACCCTTCTGTTTCTAGCCCCTTCTCGTTGTACTTCTCTCCCTCTCCAAATAGTTCACCTGTCACCTTCTCCTTCTCTCTATATACTTCACCTGCCACCTTCTCTTCATATACTTCACCTGCCACCGGGCCCTCCACCACATTGTCTGTGTCTGCAGCGACACACTCGATGACGCTGAGTGCATCCACAGCCTGGTTAACGGTAGAAGACTCATGCACAGTACCCATTACAGATGCAAGTGTATCTGGCCGAGTCTTACTAGAGGCGACCTCCATGGCTACATAGGGGTGTGTATCCTGATCATACTCCATAGTCGCCTCCACTTTAAGGTTCTCCTCCGCAGCTGCACCGACTGCTTTGTATGTGTGTGTATCGTGATCGTACTCCATAATCGTCTCCACCTTAAGGTCCTCCGCTGCAGCTACACTGCCTGCTTCGTATGCATGTGAGCTAGACCCTAACCCCCCCGTGTGCACGCCTGCGCGCGCACTCTCACGCGCTTGCAAACGCAGCACTATAGCCGCCAGCGCGTTGACCGCGTTCTTTCCCGTTAGTACACGCTGCTCGCACAACCGCAACACAGAGATCAAGTGGTTCAAAGGCACGCTGCCGTCAGGTGTCTGAGGTACAGTGGTCCACATGGGACGCTTCTCACAGCCCTCGCGCGGTGGCATCAGCACTTCGCGCGGCGTGCTGTTAACAGCGTGTTGCACTGACTTCGACGTCACGCCAAAAGACACGTGCGGCGAATACATCAGGTGCAGCAGCGACACGTACGGCATGATGGTGCCCTTGAGAAACGCCTTCTTGGCGCTGGTTTTGTTCATCTTCTGCACCTCGCCCGCCCACTGCGTCAACGCCAGCACACTCACGTCAGTCGTCTCACGCTCCTGTAACTTGACCCTGGCAATGGCTTCCGCGATCTCCGTGGTGGACAGTGGTGCGACCTTGCTCTTGGAGTGTTTCTTTGACTTGCTCGACTTCCGCAGCGCCTTAGCGGCTGCGCGTTCGCTCATAAGCTCAGGTACCACCCACACACCCGCCAGCGGAGACAGAGGCAACGTGGGCGTAGGTGGGGTGGGTTTTGGTGCGGCGGCCTTTTCAGGTATAATGAATGGCTCCACCTTCGGAGTCTTGGCCCCTTCTCGCTCAGCGGTGGTGTGTGTAGGTAGAACGTCCTTCACCTGGCGCACATACTTGACCAGTTGCTCCTGCTGCCTCGCTTTCGTCAGCAATTGCGAGCTTTTTATTGCGTACCGTGCGGCTGTCTCCGTGCGCCCACTCTGCGTGAGAGCGCCCCGGTCCTCTTGTGGCCGGCTCTGTCCTGTCCAGGTGGTATTGGGCCTAGACTGCCCCGTTGTCCCCTTGCTTTCCCCCCACAGCGCCGCGTTCTTGCGCTCCTGCGTCGCCAGTCGCTCGTTCTCGCCCGCGCGCTGTCTGATGCTTTCGCGTTCCATCCGCTGCGCCTCTGTTTTAGTCCCGTTGTACCTGTGTGCACCGGCCCCCCCCTCCGCGGTTCCATGCATCACTGGTCCCTTCTGCACGCCCTCGACCCGCTCAGCGGCGCGCGTTGGTGGTTCAGCATATTCTCTGGGCATCTTGCTTTTTACCTCGCGCAGATGGCTATTCACGCCCGGAGACGGTGCCTCACACCTGTCCTGCGATACCGTCCGCTGACTTGTGTCACGCGCACGGCCACCCACCCACTCCCCACTGTGCCCTCTTCCCTGCGCGTCTGCACTCTCGGCATGACGCGTCGCGTGCGTCTCAGCGGTTGCTGGCGTGTGTTGGGGTGAGGTGTTGCGCGGCTTCGCCCCCCATCGCCCATGCCCCACACCATCGTACTGGCTCTCCCGCATGTGGGCCTCTGCACTCCCTCTCCCCGTGCCAGAGGTAGACTCAGCACTAGAACGACCGCCTATGCCCTCAGCCACCTCCCCACTGGCTGGCTGGGTAGACGGGAGTCTTTCGTGTCGTATGCGACACTCCTTCTCGCCCGCATGTTGCTTGATGTGCTTGCGCTCCAACAGCTGCGCTTGCTTCTGCACCGACATGTGTGCTTTCCACCATCCATCACCGATGGATGCCTTCTGCGCGGGCCCATACCTACCACCTTGTTGTTGTTGTGCGGCGTTCTTCTTGTTCTTCTTCCCTTTCTTACTATTCTTAGTCGCCTGCACAGGCTTCTCTACATATATATCCTTGCCTTCACGCCTCTTCGTGGTTGTATCGGGCTGTGGTTCCTCCATGATCCAACCCTTGTCCGTCAGCGTCATTTTAGGCGCAACCGTTCCCAATATACTATACGCATCACCACCCCTCCCCCACACACGCCCATTCTTTTCCATAATTCTCCTCACAGTTACATTCGGGTCTGTGTTCCCACCCGACTTACCCGCCCACGCACTTGTCCCAATAACCAATGCGCCATCCCCCCGCACATGCAGTGAACCCTCTCTCACGCGACTCCACACCCTCTCTCGTTCTGACACCTGCGCTTTCGGCTGCGTGGGACCGTTCACTCTCTTGGCCTGTGTGCGCTGGTTCGCGTGTATTGGTGCCGATTCTTTGGACTTGGGTTCTGTTGCTAGCGAGATGACTACGGCATCCCGTGACTTGTGACTGCTTTGCACAGCGTATGAGAGACCTCCTGTGCGCTCTGGTCGTCTCGCTATCGTTTTATCCGTAGTATGTACTGTGGCGCCCGTCCCATTCCCACCAACAGTTCTAGACAGCGTATCAGCAATTCGGTTCGCCCACGGCTGTAGAGTCGGAGCCGATACACGTGGCGTCTGACTATCTGTAGTGCCACTGGTGTCAATGGTCTGTCTAGCTGGCTTCATGGATGTTACATCTTTAGTGCCACTGGTGTCAATGGTCTGTCTAGCTGGCTTCATGGACGTTACATCTTTAGTGCCACTGGTGTCAATGGTCTGTCTAGCTGGCTTCATGGACGTTACATCCACTGGATTAAAAAAGCGAAACAAGTTCGCTTTGTTTTTGCTGGTTTGTGGAATAAATATCGGTCTATCCTTCCCGTGCGCTGCTTGTGCGTGAGTGCGTTGTCGTGCACGAGTGCGTTCAAACTTATTCCCCCCACTGCTACGGTAGTGCTTTGACTGATGGGCCTTAGGTGTGAACGCAACTCGCGCGTAGTCCTTCTGAACTGATGCAGACGCGAAGTGGCTATCGCGCTCGGATTGATGCAGCAGATTCGTCTGTAGTGGTGTTAGACAGACACCTTGGCGAGTTGCATGTGTGCCACTGCGACTGTGTACAAAGCGTGTGTATGATCGAAGTTTGATATGTCCTTGTGCTATATGTGTATAGTTACCACCAGACCGTTGCATCGACAATCCATGGCTACCACTCTGAGGGCACCCTACGGATGCACTACGTGATTGCACTCGAGAGCACTGTGCTACAGAGACACATCCACTGCGCATACTACGGTCCGTATATGAGCTGTATGTATTGTAACATCCACCACTATAAGAAAGCGGACCATAAAATAGTGTAGTATGTGCGCGTTGTTTGGCGCCGATAGTGCCTCTGAGTGAAATGTAAGCTGACATCGTGAACGTGTTTGCTGATGCAATCATAAATAAAGCACAAACCGCTGGGGCGCAACTAGCGCGAGTGCTTAAAAATGATACACAGGCATTGAATCACATGCACGGTTCCGATAGTCAAACACCTGTGTGTTTCGAGTGTGTATACATAAATATATGCTACTACTGTGTGTGCTATTATTTTAATATGACACTACCGATGATTACTATATACTGCTAATAACAGCCGATGTGTGCAGTATTTAAATGCAGAGGAGTGATTTGTTGCGCAGACAGAAACACGTTTCCTTTTTTTTAATCCTTATTTTTATAATTGTTTTTTACGCGAAAAAGTATCCGCGCGGAGATGTGTCATTGTTTTTTTATAAAAAACAATTGTGTTTATTTGAAGATAGGCAAAACCCAACAACCCAAGACCCAATCACAATGGCACAAGCCTGCAGCCTGCAGCCTGAAGAGTCAAGGCATTTTGAGGCAATATGTAGTAGGCATTGAGGCGACGTGAAACATCAATTATTATTTTGAAAAATATAAATACCATTGTAGCCGTCCTGTGAATTTTGGAGATAGTCTCTATTCATTTAGAACTTTGGGGAATGAGCAAAGGGTTGGCCAATGGTGTATAGTTTTTGGATATCAAATATATGTAGTCACTAATTTCCTCTGGATAAGATAATTGATTCTGTATTCATAGAGTGGTCAATACTTCGATAGATAAACTTATTAGTCATCATAGTTGGAATACATCCAAAGAATCTTAGTTAAATTCCTATCACATTCAGAAATGGCTCACTTTTGGCGTCGACGTTCAGGTTTTTAATTGGGTAATGAAGACTATTAAATTTTATCTAAATATCCATGGCGTATCTAAATTAAGAGATTCGTGGTCCAATTCGTTATTTTTAACTAGAAGGTAGTATTAAAAGATCTATTTTTAGAACACGATGAGCAATATAAAATGATATTTTTACAAGTAATAATCTGGTTTTGTCCGGTTATGGTGAGATGTGGAATACTTTAGATCTATGCTAATATACGCTCCTTGTTGCAAACTTGCTAACATAGTGACTATGTATCGATGCACGATGCTTTAATGTAGACATCGACGGTCCAGAAAGAGCGTGCAGCGTATATGTATGTCCACAACGAAACGTCACACCGTATCAATCTGCTTGACGCTACGAGATCTACTGTTGAAATAGTAGTAGTACATTTGTATATTCTTTTGCTGACCGAAATCGGTGCTTGATAATGTACAAACATATTGGCGTTGTCCTCATAGTCGCCTGCAGTTGTAATATATTCGTTGCGGAAGGGAAACATGTTATAGGAAGCGTCCAAATACCAAATGTAGATGACAGTACATGGCACAATACAGATTTAGAAGTAGATCAACTCAACAATGACGCCATCTATGTCGCAACGAAGAGTACTTCAGGCGGTCGACGACGCGAATCCGACTACCCTGGCACGATATTGTGCAACGAGAAAGACTCTATTCTATGTGACGATGGTCTACATATAGAAAGTGAATGCTGCGAGTATGCTAACTGCGACGAGAAACATACCCCCAAGTGTGACACCGAAATGTGTTGCTACGATGGGCGCGGAATCAACATCGACGTGGATGTGTTGAATGTGGCTGAACAAAACCAAGTGACAGGTATTGCAAATGCCAACATCACCTCTACGAAAACGCGCCTTTGCAAAAATACCAACCTGTTCACATGTCCCGCCTATCACGACAAGATGTGCTGCGACAATGCGACGTGTGAGGATGAGGAAGTGGAGCAGTGCAGCAAGGAGTTGTGCTGTGACTACCCAGGCACGATAGCGTGCAAAGATATGCAGGTGGTGGTGACCTGCAACAACTTCAGGGACAGAGAGTGCTGTGAAGAGGCTGACTGCTCACTCGAGCCCACGTATGTGTGCTCGGATCTTGTGTGCTGCACAGACCCCAGGCCTGTTAAGTGCGAAAAGGTCGTCGAATGCGACAGGTACAGATACGACGAGTACTGTTGCGATGAAGGCCCCCCATGCGACGATTCATATACGCTGGCGTGTACCACAGACACATGCTGTGACACGAGAGTATACGAGGGTACTATTGATTGCGCCGAGTACCCCTACTTCGCCTGCAAGACCTACTACCCCGGCGCACAGTGCTGCCCGAGCGTCGACTGCGATGAGGCAGGCACGGCCGACTGCGATGCCAGCACGTGCTGTGAGACTGAGCATGAGATCACCGAGTTCGATGAATACCACTTCGCCCCTATAATCACCAACTACTACAACCCAGCCGACGGGTCACGGCCAGGCTACACGCGGTACTTCTGTGTGCAAACAGACTACGAGCACTGGTTTCTGATGCAAACCACGCCCAACAGTCGGCTATGCGCCGCAAACGAACAGCAGGACACATGCCTGACCTTCGCTACCAAGCAGGACTGCCGCAACCTCATCTACTACCCCGACAACCCCATCAGGACTGACAATGCGCTGTACGACTATCGTGTGCCTGCGGCGGGGGCTGTGTGCATGCACCAGTCGACGGTACCGTACGTGGACACTTATTTACAGCTCACGTACAACCCAGAGACTAGGAGGAGCAGTTGTGTGGTGAGTCTGGGACTGTGTGTACAGTACATAGGCGGAGAGAAATGTGCGGATGATCTTATACTGATTAGCAACACCACACAGCAGTTAGAGTGCACTGACGAGCAGATGTTAATGGTCGATCACTGGTGCTACCAGGCGAGTACATTTTTATCATATTATTTATAAATTAACGTAACAGTATCTCATTTCTACCCATCAATCATAATGGAATGGGTTGGTATGGTATTCCTCCCATGCCTTGTTCTGTGAGTGTATGTTGTTGTGGTGGGTTGGTATTCTATTCCTCCCATGTCATGTTCTGTGAAAAAATATGTTGTTGTGGTGGGTTGGTATGGTATTCCTCCCATGCCTTGTTCTGTGAGTGTATGTTGTTGTGGTGGGTTGGTATTCTATTCCTCCCATGTCATGTTCCGTGAAAAAATATGTTGTTGTGGTGGGTTGGCATGGCATTCCTCCCATGCCATGTTCTGTGAGTGTATGTTGTGGTGGGTTGGTAATCTATTCCCCCGTTGTTGTGATGGGTTGGTGTTCTATTCCTCCCATGCCATGTTCTGTTAGTGTATGTTGTTGTGGTGGGCTGGTGTGATATTCCTTCCATGTCCTGTTCTGTGAGTGTATGTTATTGGAGTGTGTTGGTCCATTCTGATAAGTTACAGCTATTGGGAACTTGTGAGTTGCTGCATGTTATCATGGCAACGTTGGGTACGTGAGGTTTGTATACGTATGCAGTTTGCATTCAATAGTTGTATTGAAGTGCATAGCGCGGAAGAATTCAAATGCTACCGATTTGGTGGCAGCGACATGTACCAATCACATCTCAACACAGAAAGAGTAAAACGTATTTCTACCTACTTGCGAACTCTATTTATTGGCTGTGTACAGGTGAATTGTGACATTATGGACCACAGTACAGAACTGTTGGCGAGGGCCACTCTTATGGCATTCTTGAGCATGTCTTCATGTATAGGCTTAGTTCGTTCAACAAATGTTCGGGAATTCACACCCCTCAAGATACGTTGTATCAAGTACTGATGATATATATACAGCTGCCACTATCAAGTACTGATGATATATATACAGCTGCCACTATCAAATCCTGATAATATATATACAGCTGCCACTATCAAGTACTGATAATATATATATAGCTGCCACTATCAAGTACTGATGATATATATACAGCTGCCACTATCAAGTACTAATAATATATATACAGCTGCCAATATCAAGTACTGATAATATATATACAGCTGCCACTAACAAGTACTGATAATATCTATACAGCTGCTACTATCAAGTACTGATAATATATATACAGCTGCCACTATCAAGTACTGATAAAATATATACAGCTGCCACTATCAAGTACAGATAATACATATACATCTGCCACGTCTCCATCGCATTCTGTGTGTGTGTTCTATAATGAAACCCAATGGACTTGTCGGTCAGTATATGGTACGTTTCTGCAGTACACAACCACCCTTTCACCTTTCACCTTTCAAACGGCACTGTGGTACTGTGTACATATATCGCCTGCATAGTGGCAACCAGTTACTACGTTTAATCTTTTAGTTGTTTATAGTACGTCTTCCCCCGCACTGGGTTTAGGGTTTTAGGGTTTTAGGGGTCTAGGGTTTATTTAACTTTACATTCCTATAACTTCTTCACCACAGCCCACCAGTTGTCTCGTTCGTAGCCGTGTTCGACCACACTCATGTTACCCGCACTCTCCACTAGGCCACACAACTCCCCCTCTGCATACAGATGGTAGTAGCGCTGTAGCCGATGGGGCGAAAGAGAGAGGAATGAGTCGTAATGTGGTTACATACATAGGCATTTATATATACATATATATATATAAGAGATTGGCATTTACACTTGGGCAAATCACTCACCATATCATCCTCATTTACGAATACGGTGGAACATCTCACCGCATCCTCATCATAAACGACTGCGCACACACATATTCGCGCTACAGCTTCCTCACGCAACAACGTTCTACTATCACTAATTTCAAAACCCTAAAACCCTAAACACTGTATCGGATACATCTATCTTTGGTTGCGAGTGTACGTGTACAAAATGGCTCGCTATATACATGTCCTCCGAATAAACGGTTAGGGCAGGGCTATGTAGGTAGAAAACGTATATTCATTCGGAAACAAGTTAACGTCGCACCAGACAGCTCAGTACCTGAAACACCTGGAACTTGCCCTCGATTGTGCTGGAGGCTTTGCGTTTAACGCCTCCCTTTGCCGTTTGCTCCTGCGCTATTTTCTGTCGGTCAGCGTTCATCTTCCACGGCACAAACATATCGCCATTCGTACCCTTTAACTTCTCTCTGTGCAAATAAACCATAACTAAAAGTAATCAGTATAAACCATAACTGTAAGTAGTCAGTAAAAACCATAACTGTGAGTAGTCAGTATAAACCATAACTGTGGGTAATCAGTATAAACCATAACTATAAGTAATCAGTATAAACCATAACTGTAAGTAGTCAGTATAAACCAAAAGTATAAGTAATCAGTATAAACCATAACTAAAAGTAATCAGTATAAACCAAAAGTATAAGT